ATGCCCCTGACTTTTCTAAATTTCCTTTCCCTTCTGCTCAGAAGAGCCTGTTCTACTCACACTGCTGGAAACAGAGTCAACCTGGTTCATAACGCCTCCATTTTCTGACACAACCCTTCTACTCTGCCCAGCTTGACATCCCCAGGCAGTTTTCTCAATACATACATAATACTGTTCAACTTTTCACTATACTCACCCTTTTTATATAAAAACTAGGGGCCGCCCTGGCCGGTTTGGCTCAGTGGATGGAGCGTCGGCCTGTGGATCGAGGGGTCCCGGGTTTGATTCCGGTCAAGGGCATGTGCCTTGGTTGTGGGCACATCCCCAGTGGGGGGTGTGCAGGAGGCAGCTCATCGATGTTTCTCTCTCTCATCGATGTTTCTGACTCTCTATCCCTCTCCCTTCCTCTCTGTGGAAATCGATAAAATATATTTTAAAAAATAATAATAATAAAAATAAAAACTAGGGGCCTGGTGCACGGGATTCATGCACTGGTGGGGTGGGGGGACATGACCTGCAGGGATTGGCCTGCTGTGGGAGCGCTGCTCATCCTGGTCAGCCTAGCAGCACGCCCACTGTGGGAGCGCACTGACCACCAGGGGGCAGCTCCTGCATTGAGCATCTGCCCCCTGGTGGTCAGTGCACATCATAGCTACTGGTCGACCGGTTGTTCTGGTCATTAGGCTGTTCAGTCACTGGACTTTTATTATATAGGATTAACTGGGCGTTTTATCTTTTTTTTTTTCTGGTTGCAAAGGTAATATGCACACTTACAGAAACTTTCAAACAGTACCAAAATGCATGTCACAGAAAGAAAAACCACTCATGATAGCACCAAGGTATTGCTCTCTCTGTTAAAACTGCTCTCTCCAATGAGACTGTCACCCTTCAGGGAATCTTTTGGTATTCACCCCTGCACCTAAAAAAGTGCAACTATATGGTAGGCATGGAGAATTTTTTTTTACCTTTTTAAAAAATATAAGGATACAGTCAAAGGATGTCCTAGCAATAGCACAAATAAGTCCCCCTAAACCCTTCACCCAATTTCCCCAATGGTTACATTCATATATGGTACAATGTCAAAACCAGAAAACTGGCATCAGTACAATGTACACTTATAGTCCTATGCCATGTCATCTGTGTAGATTCCTAAAGCCAACACCACAATCAAGATACCAAACTATTCCATTACCACAAAGATCTCCCTCCTACTACCTCTTTTTACCCACACACACTATCATCCCTAACCCCGGGAGCCAAGTCAGATTCTTGCTGAATAAATTAACAAATCCCATGACCTTGCATGAAGGATTTTCTATGTACCAGACACTAGATACAGACATGGTTCAAGGACTCTTCCCACCCTCAAAGAGCCTCCTAGTCTAGAAGAGCAGATTAGATATGTGCGCGGTTAATTACACAAACCAGTTTTAACTGCCACAAGAGATTTCACAGAGACCATCAATGGGAGTGCAGTGACTAAAGGCACCTAACAGTAACTGAGTGATAAGTGCCAGACAACTGTTACTTCACTTAAACTTCATCAAAGACTCCTAAAGAACACTATTGACTCCCCTCTTACAAATACAGAAATTGAGGCTCAGAGCAGTTAAGAATATTGATTTGAGCCAAAACTGGTTTGGCTCAGTGGATAGAGCGTCGGCCTGCGGACTGAGGGGTCCCGGGTTCGATTCCGGTCAAGGGCATGTACCTGGGTTTCGGGCACATCCCCAGTGGGAGATGTGCAGGAGGCAGCTAATCGATGTTTCTCTCTCATCGATGTTTCTAACTCTCTCTCTCTCTCCCTTCCTCTCTGTAAAAAATCAATAAAATATATATATTTTTAAAAATTTTTAAAAAAAAGAATATTGATTTGATATCATATAGCTGGTAGGAAGCTGCTACTTGTGTGTGATCTCAAGGCCAACACTTTTCTAACCACAACTAATGCCAAACATGTGCTGAACAACTATTATGGCTCCACTGTACCCGGGCACTGAGAAATGCTATTATAATAACAGCTACCAATTTTGGGCACTGACAATATATGCAAACACTGTACTAAATGCTTTACGTGAAATAGAATTAATCCCCACAACCTCCTTTGAGTTAAGTACAATCATTATGCCATTCTGCTGGTGAGAAGAACAGGCTCAAAAAACTTAAAACAATGAGGCCAAGTATGAAGGAGAGCTGGGTTTCAAATCACGTGGGTCTGACTTCAAATCTCGTGCTTTTAACGATGCTATACTTAGGTCCTCGCCACACAACAGTGATGAGGCCCCGTCTCAGGTCTCGAGGGGCTTACAGCCAAGTAAGGATCACCTTCCTGTGAGAGCCCAGAGGGCGCACGGAGGAAGTGGCAGTGGAGCCGGGCCGGGAATCATGGCTAAGGTTTAAACTGTCAAAGACAAAGGACACTAGGCAACAGCGAACAAACCCCGAAGGAGTAAGGAAAGTGACACACACACACCCTCGTGACCCTAAAGAGCTGTAACTCCCTGACTCTTCAGAGGGAGTGGCCCTGGAAGGCAGCACGCACCCCATCTTGCCCCAACCCCAGCTCAACCGGAAGTCCACTCACCCGATTCCCGCAGCAGCCCCGCGAGCTTCCACAACAGGGAGTCCCGCGGGGCCGTTGTCATGGCCACGGGACGCTGGGGGCGGAGCCTGTAGAAAGAGGAAGCGAAAGAGACTCAGGTGGGTGGTACTGCCCAAAGGCCAGGATGTCCGTGCAAACCGAGGCCTCGCGCGGAGAAATAAAGCAAGAAAGAGGCCAAGAGCGTCCTCCATGGTGCCCTTTTGAGGAGCACGAGGCCTGGTCAGCCAGACTCACCCCGCTGGGCGATCCGCTCACCGGCTCCGGAGCCCGGCGCCCAGCATTGAGAGACGGGAAGTACCACCCCGGAAAAAAAGCCAGATGAAGGGAGGACCGGAAAGCACGCCTCCGCTGCCGGAAACCACGCCCTAAGTCGTGCACACGTGTCGGGTGGGGGCGTGCTCGCCGCTGCTGGGGGAGGCCGGCCTTGGGGCGGAGCTGCCTGTGCCCCGACCGCGTCCCCGAGCTGGGCCCCCACCACCTCCGCCCCGCCTTGGGCCCCTCACAGCTTGGGGCGCCCGCTGGGCTTGCCGCGGCCCCTCCAAGCCAATGAGGAAAACCCGACTGGCTGTTTGCAGACTGGGAGGGGAAGCAGCTTCGAGAAATGGAATTTGCTGTTAGGAAAAGACTCCTCCAAAGCGAATTGCAATTATAGGAGAGCGTGTCCTCCACAGCAAGTGTTTTGATATGTGTGAAAGAGCTGGGGCTGGCGGAGGTGCCACTTCTGGGGTTCCTTTGGCACTTTTTCCTAAATCTCCCTCCAGACTCTGGGGTTTTTTTCCCTTCAGCAATATCAGGCTCACATTAGTGATTGGTAACGTTCTACGTGCATCTCGTCTTTGTTTTCACGGTGCTTCACCTCATCTGAAAGTCGTAATAAACTAGCGGCATGCGGGGCGCATGCTTGAACGTTTTAGGGAAAGGGGGACCTGGCCCTGAACCATCTGCCTAGTGTTGCAGGTGGTGTGCGGGTTCTTGATTTACCGCAGGAAAGATTTCACAGTACGAGTCCTGGTGATTTTTAAATTATTAAAGCTGGGGACAGTGAAACAAGGAAGAGCCTAGGATAGAAGAAGCAACAGGAGAGGAACTAGGTTGAAAAATGAGCCTACGCTGGGCAGCTTTGGCTCAGAAGTCAGAGGAAAGGGGCCTTGGGACAGGTTCAGGGAGTTAGCCAGACCAGCTGCCACTGTCCATTGCTCCCTGGTTGCGAGTCTCCTGGCGTCCCTTGGGGTTTAAGAGATGCATGCTTGTGGGGGAAGAAGGAAAAAGGGAAAGGAGCCGGCCTGTGCTTCTAGGAGGGAGACTGCACCCTGGGTCCTTTATCTTAAAGCTTTTGTCTCTCTCTTGCTTGGGGGACTCTTAGAAGAGGTTTCAGGGGAGGGTTTTACCAGAATATTCATCAGTTTATCACGTGAGTCCTTTCAGGGTCATGATCTCTATTGATTGGTCAGTGCCAGGGCAGGGGGTCGTTTGTCGCTGCTGCTGGACCTGGGGTCCCCCACCTGGTTTTGCTGCTTTTCTGGGTCTGGAGCTGAAATACAACTGAGGTCTAGATGCCTCACCAGATTTGAAAAACTTGTTCACACAGGCTAGGTTGCTAGCGAAGGTCATTCAATTAGTAACTGATTGCGCCCATTGTAGCTTTCACGTAGCCCGCTGTGAAATACCACCTAACTAAATTAAGTTTAAAAAAACAAAAAAGTCAAAAAAAAAGTCTTTAGAGAATTTCTGGTTTTCAGGGAGGATTTGTTTGGTTTTTGTTTTGGGTTGTTTGGTGTGTTGTGTGTGTGTTTTTAATGAAGTGCCCCTTTTCTGATTCATTTTCAAAATGAATTGTAAGCTAGTTGAGAATAAGAATCCTATATAATAAAAGGCTAATATGCAAATAGACCGAACGGAGGAGCAAGCAAAAGGCGGAACTGAACAACCGGTCGCTATGACGTGCTCTGACCACCAGGGGGCGCGTGCGGAACATGGCGGGCATCAGCCACAGAGGAATGGTGGAGCAGGTGAGCGGGAGCGCGGGAGCGCCAGACCAAGGCAGGTGCCAGTCACTGTCATCAGGGTGAGCCTCTGGTGGTTACTGAAAATTCTTTGCTCCCGAACACCGCAGTCCCACCTGGTGCTTGCACCTGCTGCTGGTGCTGGAGCCGCTGCTCACACCCACTGCCAGTGCCCAGCACTGGCACTGATTGCTCGGCGCCACTGGAACCACCGGTGGCACCCACTGACAGCACCGGCCCCAATAGCTCCGCAGTCAGCAGAGGGGCCAGCACCATCAGCACATGGGAGCAGTGGCAGCAGGAGTGGGGGGGGGGGGCGGGCTGGCCAGGGAGGGCCTTGGCAGAAGGGGCCCGGCAGGGGTATAGAGGATGGGCCGAGACATGCCCCTGTGCCCATGGCAGCCTCTTGGCCCACAGTTACTTTCAAGGTGCACAAATTTGTGCACTGGGCCCCTGGTAGGTTCATAATCATCTTTATACCAAGTTGCAAAATTTGGAGCACCCTATTTTCTAAAGACAAAATATTTGAAATGGTAATCTAAGCTCCTAAACCACACAATTTAATGTTTATGGCATACAATGTGTGATCTGAGCCAAAAGCCTAAAAAGTGGTTAAAGCAGCAGTTCTCAACCTGTGGGTCGCGACCCCTTTGGCGGTCGAACGACCCTTTCACAGGGGTCACCTAAGACCATCCTGCATATCAGATATTTACATTACAGTTCATAACAGTAGCAACATTACAGTTATGAAGTAGCAACGAAAATAATTTTTTTTAATATATTTTGTTGATTTTTTACAGAGAGGAAGGGAGAAGGATAGAGAGTCAGAAACATTGATGAGAGAGAAACATCAATCAGCTGCCTCCTGCACACCTCCTACTGGGGATGTGCCCGCAACCAAGGTACATGCCCTTGACCAGAATCGAACCTGGGACCCTTCAGTCTGCAGACCAACGCTCTATCCACTGAGCCAAACCGGTCAGGGCAACGAAAATAATTTTATGGTTGGGTCACAACATGAGGAAATATATTTAAAGGGCCAGAAGGTTGAGAACCACTGGGTTAAAGGGAAAGCACGTTGTGAACAGCAAAGCAGTAAAATATAAAGTAAGTATATTTTTGTTGCATTATTAATCCTATAACCATGATGACTGTCAGTTTATCAAATCACCTGGTCGTAAAGAGGAAGAATTTTCCCATACTGTAACTGCCAACTCTAACCCCCTTAGGCAAAAAGAGAAAGAACCTTTTGAAGTTCCTGACATTTCAGTGTTCTGAAACCTGTTTCGGGGTGCTTCCCCAGCCCACAGAGTTTTCTGAGAATTGCTCCATTCATATGGATAACCCCTATAGCCAGATTTGTTCTGCACCCCCTTGCTTCCCAAAAAGTGGAAGTGGGACAAAGAGCAGCAAGGAAAGTTGAATTACAGAGGGAGAGAAAAACAGATCTACTGAGAGAAGCAGCAGGAGGAGACTGAGCAGTTTTTTTCCCCAGCCCCCTTGTGAGGCCCACTCCCCTTTCTGCCCTTGGCCTGCAGGGCTTGGCCGCCTTCCAAAGAATTCTCCCTTTACTTTTTCTGCCAAGTTTGAGTGTATTGCTCTAAATTGCTGCCATATGAACCTTTGCTAAAACAAAATCTTTTCAAAAAATTAAAGTCTAAAAGAAAAAAATATTATCTTTCACCATAACAGAGAAAAATAAAGTATATACCTAGAACATTTTAAGATGTGTGCCAGATCTATGTGAAGACAGCCAGAGTACTTTAAGGACATTAGAAATGACCTAAGTAAATGAAAAGATAACATGTTCCTGATGAAAGATTATTCCATTTAATTTAATATTATAATGATCTAAATTGAATGCAATTTTCATCAAAATTCCAATAGGAAGATTTTGGAACTTGACAAGTTGATTCTAAAATTCCTCTGGAAGACTAAACACATGAGCATTGCCAAGAAATGTTGTAGAAAAAAAAAAACAAAACAAGAAGCACTAGTAGGGGCCTTACCCTGCCAGATAGCAAAATGTCTATAAGGCCACAGTAACCAAAGCAGCATGATACTGACACAGAGACAGATAAATATTGATAGAACTACAGAAACAACCATGATTACATGGAATTTTTTTTTTACTATATACAATAAAATTTATTTAAATGGTATAAATAATGAGTTCTTCAGTAGTTTGGGGACAATTAACTTTCCATCTGGGAAAAAACTAAATTCCATCCCTCATACAATGCACATTAAATTTCAGAAGGATTAAAGAGCTAACCATTGTTTTAAAATTAGATCTAAGGATTCTTCAAAGTTTAAGGTTCAAATTTACTTCTTAAAGACTGCTCTTTATTTAAAAGGCATGCAATGTCATTTCAAAAAAAAATTGTCCTTAGACAGCAATGTTATATATATGGCCTGCTACTGCATAATTTCATATTACCGTGAATCAAAATGTGTTTCTCAGAGAAATGCTATGATAGCACGCTCTAATAAAACTCTTCTGAGGCCCAGCCGGAGTGGCTCGGTGGACCCTTCAGTCCGCAGGCTGACGCTCTATCCACTGAGCCAAACCAGCTAGGGCCAATGATTCTTTCTCATCTTTGATGTTTCTATCTCTCTCTCCCTCTCCCTTCCTCTGTGAAATCAATAAAAAATATATATATTTTTTAAAATAGTTAAATAAATAAATAAATGTGCCGCTGGACCTTCCAAGCACATGACCAAGACCTCCCAGCACAGCAGCGGATGTGGTACTAGCGAGGCCCAGCTCACCCACCTCAGACTTCACACCCCCTGTTATAATGCGTGAAGAGAGAAGTGAGTTGTAAGCAGCTGCCACTGGTAGCTTCCCTGCCACTCCTAAGTTCACTGGGGTAGCCTCTGCACAATGTGTGTGACCAAAGGGGTAAGGAACGGTGTGCTGGCCACTAGCTTAGGCAGCATGGACGGGAAGAAAGAAGAAGAGGGCATCTTCATACAAGAATGGCAAAATCGGTGACCGGAGAATACAGACCTCAGGGTCCTGGTCCAAAGCCCGCTTGTTTCAGTTACCTTGGAGCATGCAATGCCCTGGACGGTTGCCTAGAGGGGCACAGAAGTACTAGTTCATCTGTAAGATATGAGCTAGACATGTCCTGGATCTAGACCTCACCACTCCGGTGCTACAGCCTCCTGCAGCAGATCAGATGATTCCTCGGAAATGAACATTTTACACTTGAAATTGTGTTGTGGGTGGGAGGGTGAAATTGTACAATCTACTTGTTTCATCAAATAGGTATCTTCATGGAGTTGGGATGGGGGATGGGGCAAATGGAAAAGAATGAAGAGGTGTGATTATTACCTACACTAGAGTCCTTGTGCCTGGTGCCCAAGGCCCCAACATTGAGTGGTCAGAGGCAGTTCTTTCTAGTAAGTTACCACACATTGTGTCCCTTGGCCCATTCAGCCACAAAAGACACCAGGAATGTACCCAGTCACAAAAAATCAAACATATGGGACAAATAAGCAGCGTTGGAGGAGGTCTAGCATGAGAACTCTGCATTGGACCATTACCAAGCAAGCCCATCAGAGCCTGGTTCCAGGAGAACCAGGCACACGGAGAGAATGCCAGAGAGGCAGAAGCCAAGCTTCATGTGAAATCAGAGATGCCAGGGCTTGAGAATGGCTGACTGAAAGGAAGCAAGAAAGTCATATTCCAGTGACCCAGCAGCAACTCTGGTCACCCAGCCTGACTGGACTTTGCACTTCTGCACGAAATACATTGAGGGATTCTCTGAGTGGCTTTATAGTAAACAGGTCACCTGAGAGCGCCTTTAATTCTTTTCATTGTCTATCCTAAAAGCCTGTGGAGTCATCTGAGAAGGGGGTTACGAAGGGCCATAAGAAAGATAGGGACCCTGTGCTTCATTCAGAACCCAGAAAGGAAGAGATGAGGTGAAGCCTACATTCCCCATGCAAGCACTTGGGGAAGGAGTGAACGCCTGATAGGAAATGTGAGTGGAGGCATCCGTGGAGAGAAAGGAAAGCAGGAGGAGAGGAAGAGAAAGTCACTGTTTCCCACATAACCCGCAGGCCTGTTGGCAAAGTTAGATACATATGTGACATGTGCTTTCCATCTCAATTTTCCTTGCCTACAGCGTTGGAGAGAGCGGTTCTCAACCTGTGGGTCGCGAACAATGAAAATACATCCTGCGTATCGGATATTTACATTACGATTCATAACAGTAGCAACATGACAGTTATGAAGTAGCAACGAAAATAATTTTATGGTTGGGGGTCACCACAACATGAGGAACTGTATTAAAGGGTCGCGGCATTAGGAAGGTTGAGAACCATAAAGCAAGAGAGAGGCCTGCAGTGTGCAACATGGGTCAATGGGAAAAGGAAACGAGAGAAGAGTGAGATCGAAGGGCTTGCAGTGGTTCTCAACCTTCTGGCCCTTTAAATACAGTTCCTCATGTTGTGACCCAACCATAAAATTATTTTCGTTGCTACTTCATAACTGTAATGTGGCTACTGTTATGAATCGTAATGTAAATATCCGATATGCAGGATGGTCTTAGGCGACCCCTGTGAAAGGGTCGTTCGACCGCCAAAGGGGTCGCGACCCACAGGTTGAGAACCGCTGGCTTAGGGTCTCCATGGCTGAAGGAAGGGCGAGGCAGAGCCTGCTTTGGAATCCCAGAGCCTCTGTAGAACCTCAAAGTTAGAGCAGTCTTTCATTCATTCATTCATTCATTCATTTGTTCGTTCAACAAATATTTACTGAGCCCTGACTGTGTGCCAGATCCTGTGCTGGATTCTGGGTAAATAAAGGAGACGAGAGTGTGGCTCTTGTTCTCCAGAAGCTGGCAGTGTGGTGGAAGAGACAGACACCGGCAATCACATTTCAACATTGTATTTGTTTTCTATTGCTATCGCAAGAACTTACATCAAATGTAGCTGCTTAAAACAGCGAACATTTATGACCCCATAGTTCTCAAGGCCAGAAGTCTAAACTGTATCTCACTAGGCTAAAATGCAGGTGTCAGCAGGGCCATGTTTCTTTCTGGAGGATCCAGGGGAGAATCTGTTTCTTGTCTTTGCCAGCTTGAGACACTGTGTGCCCACTTCCCAGCCAACAATGGCCAATTTAGTCCATGAACCCGGAGAAAGACACCAACTAAGAAGGGTATCCTGGTGGCTAACGGGGCTCAAATTGTAAAAACTGAAGCCTCGCAGTCATTTCCACATGGGAGCTTCTCACACAAACTGCACTTGAGGGAGAAACCCGCACGGAACTGCCTGCCTGCACTGTTTGTGCCATCAGAGCCACCCTTAAAAAGGAGTTCCTGGAATTCAGTTTCAACCAATAGGACTGAGGCTTTCCCCATCCAACCAGGACACTGCCTTTTGGACCAAACTATAAGGATTTGGAGCCCTCATTTGCATGAGGACAAATCAATCAAGGGCCAGGG